AATTTTAAAGCAAATGTAAGCTTAGAAAAGCCATCCATTTAAAAAGAAAGTTTTAAATTAAAATTAGCTCCCATGGAACACTTTCATGTGGCAAGCCATGATGAACAACCATCAATTGCGAGAGAGAGAGAGAGAGAGAGAGAGAGAGAGAGAGAGAGAGAGAGAACTATACCAAAGTGAATAAGATTATGACAAACATAGCAGCTAAGGAAAAAATTATATGTTCACCGTTAAAAAGTAAACAGAAACAATAGTACCTATCAATTTGTTTTCTTCTTAAAAAGTAACTAGCACAACAATGTATGCGTTTTTTTTCTCTAGAAAGATAGTTATTAAGTAACAAAATATATAATTAAAGTATGATTAGAATGTACCATACAACATTGATTGCTTGGAGATTTCGGGAAATTCAAATGGCACATTTCAAAAAAAGGCCATATGCTTTCAACGTTCAATGCATACAAAATACTATTTTAAAATGGAATCCAAAAGGCTTTGACTAAAAATTAAAATAAAACATTTCTACAACTTACACTAGAATGTTGAATTGGAGCACAAATTCCCATTAGTCCACATCCAAGATGCTCTATACCATCTTCAAATAATTGGACTATGTTATAAGTCAATTTTTACCTTGTTCTTTCAATAATCAAACAATAGCAACATGTTTTCTCTAAGAAAAAAGTACAAAATCTGCAATAGCACAAATGAATAGAACATGCAAGTGATGCAAACATATTTTCCAAAACCATAATTAAATTTTTTTTTCTTGCTATACCCATTGAAAGGTTTTAATTTGCAATTGCAATCACTGCCAAACTTCCAAAGTATGGGTAAGTTCTGTCAATGGCCTATTGGCATAATTGATGAGTCATAGGTACTAACATTTCAATAAGAATAGTTGAAAACAAAAGGAATAACAAATGGCATACTACCACAAAAGTTGCTATTTAAAAGCAACTTCAACTTAGAAGTCAAGAGAGAAGGTCAAATAATGTTTCTCTAAAGAGTAGGCAACACAAAACCATTTATTAAGGGCTATTAGTCTTGGGTCCTCCAGGTACCACTCCTCATTTCCCCATTATGCTACCTAATTAGACGCCACAGATTCACCTTAAATCTAAAATTGGTATAAAAAAAAAATTAATACAAGAGATACAATTACTAATTTATTAAATATATGATTTCAAGGTCTAAAGATCGATACAAACAATCAAGAAAACTAATGGGTGTAAGGGTAGATTATATGTATGCATATATACATACGTATATGCATATGATATGCTATCTCTATGTGTGTATATATATATAAACAACGCTCAAATAATACACATTAATATGTCTTGGGGAGGGAAAAGATTGGGTACACACCTAACCTTTGACATAGTACAAAGAGTGGTTGCCTCGAGACTTAAACTCATAACTTCAAGGTTATTAGGCTAAGATTTTTACCATTGAACCAATGGTCACCCCCCTTTACTCGTGTTACTCTCACTTAAAAATCCACTTGCTCACGATAAGTTTCTTCTCATCACACTAGTGATTGGCCACCATAAGATGAATGTTTCATTCCCATTCACACCTGGTGATTGCAAGCATGCAGCTTATATATCAGATCATCATCTAGGGTTTGTTATGGTTTTTAGTTTGGTGACAGATTGCTGTTGTTTTCAAAAATATATATATGTTTCTATTGGGTTTTGTCATGGAAGGTTTCTCTAGGTTTTTGGTTTGAAATTTGCAATTGGATTTGTAGGGAAAAGGTTGAATTTGCCGACAGATTGTGGATCTAGATTTTTAATGCTTTCTATTTACACACACACACACACATACACAATTTTCTCCTGTTTGACATTATAATTCATATTTACATAGCTATTCAATAGTTCTACTCCTTGTTTCTCCAATTAATTTGTAGGTGAAGTGATGCAGCACCACATATAAGCTTAAAAGCATTATATAGTAAGGGAAAAAATCATATGATCAAAACAAGACCCAGATAACTTATTCTATCAAACAACACCATTCAAGCTCGATCCACAGATCATTTTAAGATAAGTAAATACACCAATTAGATTATATTATTTTATTATAAATTTTCTTTTACACATTATTATGTTAAAATTAGTGTTTGTTTTATATGTCTAGATTTTTTATTTTACTTGCGTCTAATAAAAATTTGGATCTGCCAAACTTTTAAAAAATAAAAAATAAAACTTAAAAGTAATTTTGTAGCTTAAAAACGGAGAAAATTTATTTTATATAAAAATTTACATTGTAAAAAAAACTCGTTTAGATTTTTCTCCTTAGGTGCACTTTTAGATTTTCTCAAAAAAGCTTGAGCTGGGTCGCCTGTGTGTTTAATCAGCATGTAGACGTATAATGCTATAGCAAAGAGAAAGCAATTAAACAAATGCCAATATGATTGAGAACCGATGTTAATTTTCAATGTGAACAAAACTTAATATCATCAGCTATTCACTTTTTAGGGTTAGGGTTTTGAAATCAAAGCCCTATCTTGGGTGGTTACAGATGTTAATTTTGACTGAGAACAAACCTTAATATTAGATATTCAATAAGGGTTAGGGTTTTGAAATCAAAGCCCCAATGGCACAACTATCTTGGGTGGCTGTAAATAAGAACATACCTGACCTACAGAAGAGAGCTCTCGTAAATATTCAATCTGACTAGAAGGGAAAATATTTGCTGACAAATCCATGGTAGAGACGTGTACAGAGTGATGGCTTGTGAAGAAGATGTCGACAACGGTGGCGTGAATCGCCGACGGGGCTGGTGGTCTTTGGCCATGGCGGAAGCTTCGGCTATGGTGGAAGAGAAGAGAAAGGTGAAGAGCAAGAGAGAGAGGCTATGGTGGAAGAGAAGAGAAAGGTGAAGAACGGTGGCCCCGACGCTTAACCATTGGACTTCGACAATCGCTGCAGCTTCGGCTATGGTGGAAAAGAGGATGGAGGAGAAGAGAAGAGCAAGAGCACGAACCAGAGCAAGAGAGGGAGGCAACTGACTTGGGACTGTTGGGCTTCTGATTTACTTTGCTCTGTTTGGCAACCGGTTAGACCGGTTGCCAATTCAAAATTAAATTATTAAAATAATTTAGTTATATGATAGTTATGAGATAATATGGTATATATAAATAACTAAATATAATTAAGTTATGAGTTAATATGAGAATAGTTATGATTTATATGATATTAGTTATTATATCAAATCACATAATCTCATAACTGATAATGTACCATATCATCACCCCTCCGTTAAATAGTTTAAAGTTTTATGTGGGTTAGTGATTAACAATATAATATGGTATCCAAACAAATAGATCTTGTGTTCTAATCTTTCCCCTTATCCGATAACTAAAATACTTGCTTGTGAGTTGTTGATTAACAATCTAATAATGTATCCTTTAATGTTATTTACTTTTAGGAACGATTCAAGATGCAGTCCATGGCCATGGGGTTAATTCATAACATGATTTTTTGTGAATTTATTTTTTGACAATCAAGGCCTTTTGTTGAGGCATGCCAATTGGGGATGTTTGATCATAGTAGCAGTTTCAGTTTAAGAATTGAAACAAATTTTCTTGATGGGTTTGTTCATAATGTTCATATGAAGGCTCTATATATACAGAAATCAGTGACATCATTGTCATTGTTAGATGATCTTGATGGTATTGTGGGAGAGATGAGGAAAAAAAATTAAAGGATTAAAGATTAAATAGAGCATTGCAGGATATCTGTATGAAGAAATGCCTAGTTAAAATAGAAAATGTAATTCTTAACTAGCTATTTTAGCTAAAACTACAATGTCCTCCGCCAATCTCCATCTCATGCATCACGTATGTCAATCAACATTGAACTAGCACAAATAAGCATAATCTAAAACAGATTTAGTGATATTAGGCAATGCATACTCAAAATCAAACATCAAAGAGAAACACAAATGAATGCCTATTTAATCAATTTCAATCCAAATTCCAGTCTCAAACTTCATACTTATGTTTTTCCACTATCATACTAAAAAGTTCAACAAAAATGTACCATGGATGTGTCTCTCTTTCTCTCTACAGAACGGAGCAGCACTTGGGTTGACCAACACCCGGTGCAGAAGCACCAGCACTTGGGTTGAGGTGCAGCAGCAGTAGTAGCCATGGCCTAACGTGCAGCAGCAGCAGTAGTAGATGTGGGTTGACGTGTGATGGCCCGACGCCCCCTACGATCCCTACTACCCTCAGGTATGGGTATAGGTATAGGTAAAGGTATAGGCTCGGGGAAATTCATGTCCCCCTCAAGCTCAGCAACTGGCCATTTAAGTTCAAAATTCATCACAAACTCCTCTTCTTCGCTACTCTTGTCATCTTCTACCTGTAATCTCTGCCATTCTTCAATTGTGTGTAATCCCGGTACCTTACTTCTTCCTTTATTCCGCTTTCTGTGCCACTTTGCTGCTTTCCTACTCTTCCTCAATTCAAGCTCCTCCGAGTCAGGTCCCTCGTCTACTTTACCCTTCCCTTTGTTCTTAAAATCCTTTGCTTCCTCGACTTTCTTCATTTGTTCAGTTTTCTTTCCTTCCTCAATTTTTATCCCTCTAAAAAATTTCTTCCTTTTGTCTTTAATATCCTTCACTTCCTCATTTTTCTAGGCTTCCTCCATTTTCTGTCCTTCCTCAAATTTTATGCCTCCCACAATGGCTTCCTCAATTTTCCTTGCGTCATCACTTTTCTTGACTGCTTCCTCACTTTTCTTTGCTTCCTCCATTTTTGTCCCTCCCACACTTGTTTCTTCCTCACTTTTCTTGGCTTCCTCCATTTTCCTTCGTTGCGAAAGTATTGTTACCCCTGCTCTCTTCAACTTGGCTTCCTCAATTTTCCTTGCTTAATCTCTTTTCTTGATTGCTTCCTCAATTTTCTTTGCGTCTTCTCTTTTCCTGGCTTCCTCAATTTTCTTTGCTTCCTCTTCTTTCTTGGCTTCCTCAATTTTCCTTTCTTATTCTATTTTTGCGGCTTTCACCATTTTATGCGCTTCCTTAATTAATAAATTTTCAATAAATCTCTTCGCCGTGCTTGTGTCTTCTTTAACACCCTTCGCTTTGTCTGCTTTCCTGTCTTCCACAATTTTTTTCGCATAATCTACTTTCTTCCCCATATTCTTATCCTCCTCTTTCTTTTCCTTCTTGGCTTCCTCTTTTTTCTTTGTTTCCTCTTTTTTCTTGGCTTCCACAATTTTCATGTCTTCTGTAAATTTTTTCCCTTGTTCCCAAAGTTCCTTGATTTCCTCCATTCTTTTCGCTTCCCTGATTTTACTTGCTTCCTCTTCCTCAATTTTCTTTGCTTCATCAAGTTTTACTACTTCCTTGAGTCCCTCCAGATCCTGCTGGACCTCAATTTCCATTGCTTCCATGCACAGCAACAAGGCATCCTACAACCACATTACCCAAAAATAAAATTCAATTTAGACACATACAACCGAAAAAAAACATAACTTCATAATTTAATTTCACCAATTGGTTGCAGAGAAACTGATGGAAAATGAATGCAAAGAAAGAAAATTAAAATTAAGAACCATAAATTCTTTACAATATTCTGTAACAAAATACACTAGTTGGAGTTTTTTTTCTTTTAATTTCCTTTGTTTTCTCATCGGCCAAGCACATGGCGAGTGATAGAATTATGTTGCTGACTATTCTATTACCTTATCAATGTACTAGCAACGGAGGAATGCCTCTGCACGTTGAAGGACTTGCGCTGGAAACGCCTCGAATGAAGCACTGAGAACTGCTGATGCCGCGATTATTGATGGCTTGAACTATATGAATTTAATATCTACAATCAAATTACAAAGAAGAACTGATTAGTTGTTGTTTGAAACTCCGTTTAGTTGTCAAGAAAAAGAAAGAAATTGAAATAGAAAAATGTAAAATGTAAAAATTCTAGTATCATGGTTCTACCCTAATTGAGCCAAAATATATGACTATCTTTGCTTTTCTTTCATTTTCTTGGTAACCAAACAAATTATAAAGTAGAAAATAGACTTGTAGGTAAATTTACCCCCTTGAACGCTCAAAATGGACTGTGAAATGTCTCGACGAGTGAAGCCTCGAATTGGCTGCGGATGCCTCAGTTTGAAGAAAGGATAGAAGTATTCCAAGAAGTTTATTGCAGTCAAGGATTGCATTCGCCATTCCAGCATGGTCAGTATACGACGCTCCATCTCCAAAAGCAAGAGTGGATTGACACTGGTCGTAAGTTTGCGTTTAGCCTATTCAACATAAACCTAACATTAGAGAGGGAGAGAGAGAGAGAGAGAGAGCGAGAGAGATAAATTTAGTATTTACCAAGAAATTAGGAACAGAGAAGTTCCCGTTCCTCGTCTTTGAAGCAAGTGTAAAACAACAAATTGCAAAGAGCTTTGTGTTCTTGCACGGATTTCTTTCTAGAGCCTAGATCAAAGTTGAAAATCGATTCAAAACCAATCGAAAAACATATCAAAAATCAAATCAAATAGATTAAAGTCCTAGATTTTAACTGGTAAATGGCTTTTCCTCGACAACATTCGATCAAGGTAATTCACAGCAAGGTAGGGAATGAATGCATCATAATCGGAACCTTTTGAGAGCTGTAATTCATGCCAAGAAATGCATCAACAAACATGATTTAACAAAAAAGCAATGTGGAGAGAGAGATATATATATACAGTACCATTTCAATGAGAGTAACTACGATGCTTCGGGTAATGGCCTTTTCTGCATTATGAGAGTAACCTTGAGCAGCCATGAATTCAGATTCGACATTGAAGAACTTCTTGAAAGCTTTATCATTTCGTTGAAGAAATGGGTGCGTTGGATCGTAATCCATTTTTTTTTCCCAGAGGCTTTGGAGTGAGAGGGATAGAAACTAAGAGAACTATAGGGGTCTCTCAGCGTTTATTTATCAAAGTAACGTGTTCCTTTCACCCTGCAATATTCTTGAGGCAAATCAGTAGAGAAGCGCAACTCAGAACCACAGGTTCAGAACAAATAATAAGCAAAAGAAAGCAATTTGACCACTTCTAATAACTGGAAAAACTGCAGCAAGCCCTCACCAGTCTCCGGACAGTATATATATAGCATAGTCTAAGATGCATTGACCCAGACATAGACATGGGTATGGAACCCAACAATTTAAAACAAATTAGGACACAACACGATGGGCATATGAAAAAAAAGAAAATGAAAAAGAAAAGTAAAACCCCACCAATGTTAATTTAATTTTGTTTTCTTGGCACTTAATTGAAGATTCATAGTTAGGTGGCTCAATGTGTTACCATTTGTAAATGAATATTAATATTTCATTTACATCCCTGAAAATGAAATATTAATATTGCAGGAGGCCGAGTGAATTAGGTAAGCCGAGTATCTATTAAACTATGAAGCCGAGTAAATAAGAGAATAATGAGTGAAAAGTGGGCCAGGCCCCGAGGCCCAGGAAACGAGTATAAATAAAGGGGCAATAGACAGGTAAAGGTATGTGAGAACTATTAAGCTTAACTTATAATACAAGTAATCTTGGGTGCAGAGACTAACTTGCCCGTCGGAGTGCTAATTCCGGCACTCACGACCGGAGTGTTTATTCCTTTTCAAGTGACTAGCAGAGGATCACGAGCGTCCCCCAGGATCAAAAGAGTATTTCCAAACCACATCCCCACACAAAGTAATAACAATATTAGCTCAATGGATATAAGATAGAATTTTTACCTGAAAAGCTTAAGAGTGTATATGAGGCATACCTTAGGTTCAAGAGATGGAAGCTTTTCAATCTTCAATTTTCTTAGATGAGGAGTTCATCTCAAAAGGGTTTAACAAGTATGTTAGTAAAATGATTTCTCCCTCTAAGTTAGTGCTACCCTTTTCTATTTTGTGTAAATATAGCACTCATAGAACAATGACTATTACTCAATAAAAACACAACACAAATCACTTCTTATCACAAACTAAAAATGTGAAAAATAATTCAATGATCAAATAAGAGTTTGGAATGCTATTTTTCAGAATTTTCAAGTTGTAACGCATAGCATAATATGCATAAGAAAATAGTTTTATGCCCTTTGTTTTATTAAGAAATGATGCAACAATCTCATTTAATCACATAACATTATCAAGAGGCATTT